CCATAGGGAGAAGAGAGGAATGAGAGTGGGAGAGAGGTGAGGGAGATGGAGGCTCCCTCATCCTATTTAACAGGGCTATTACACATTCCTAGTTTTGCCTCTGGATACAAATGAGTTGAACCGCTAAGTCCAAGGGCGTTGTTGTCCAACCCGGTGTAATCTTGATCCGACGGCCATCGCGCCTTCTCACCGGTAGCTTCGCCTCGACGCGAACTCCCCGATGCCGCCACGTGCCGTCCGTCCCTCCTCGGAACCTCCGCCCGGGTTTTGAGGCCCAAACCCGTAAACCGTCCGCGGGTAGCGTACTCCATACGCGTTCCCCGCCATCCGACGCGTGTCACCACCGTCCTCGACCGGCCGGCCCGCCAAGTCCTCCTGAGCCTCACTCGACTCACGCGTCCGCCGTCTTGACCCGGTCAACACCGTCACTCCATGTCTTCTTGCACTTGTTGATGTTCCAAGTGTCAGCCACCGCGGCTAGTCGCTCGGCCTCACGGTCCCTCGGTCCAAGCCTCACGTCCGTCCTTCACCGCTCTCGGTCCGTCGGCACGGCACGTCCTCCTTGACATTCACTTCGCCGTCAACTACCGCCTCCGTGCTCCACACCTACACACCACGAGCCAAGAGACATGCACACATAGCTTTCGCCATGGTAGAGTTAGTAACCGACTCAACCTATTCGTGGATCACTTTGATCAATCACTCATCACACAAAAACACGAACACACAATGGTACTTGTCAACCTTGTGTTCGCAGAAGCCAGACATATACGAACGTGCTATTGGAGATTGGGGACCCTGGAAATTAATTAGGGGACCTGTGTGGTCGCACTGGCTGCACATACGGGTGGACGGCTCTGGGATGGATGGGACGAGCCCACAGGTCCCGTTCCGCTTACCCCATATTCGACTTGTTCGGCTTGTTTTTTTCAGCCGGAACAGTGTTTTTCTCTCAAAACAATTCAGCCAGAACAGTGTTTTTCAGCCAGTTTTAGCCAAGATTCAGACCAGTGAACGGGGCCATATGGTGTTTGGTTGGGAGTCAGGCGGAGCAGGGACAAACCACCTAAGGAATATTTGTGCAATATACGCATGGAATGGGGGCGAGCATGTCCCCAAAAAAGTGCCTACAAACGCATCCCACTTTGTCGCCGAGAGTGTGCTGCGTGCGGGCTAGTGGGCAGGCGCTGGGCAGCGCGAGCGGTGAGCCAAGTCACAGAACCGCGCTGCGGCGGTGGCTGATGGAGCTGCGAATCCGAGTGGAGCCGGTCGTGCATCCCTAGTGCGGGGGCAACGCAGAGCAGGCGGCGGGCATGGGAAGTAGCAAGCAGAGCCGGACGGCGCGGATAGGGGAGCAATATGAGGAGGACATAGCACGCGCGCGAGAGGAAGACAGAGCAGGCGGCGTATCTATAAAAAAAGTGAAAGAATGGACCCCCAAAATTCTTTTGACAACTTCAAGTGCCGGGGTATCCACAACATGCATGAGTCCCCCCCACACACACACAAAAAAAAAGTTAAGTCAAATTGCAAGCAGGAAACACTGAAACCAAATCTGATTTCCCTAACCACTCGTCGGTTTCCATCAGAACTTACCGAGCTTCTCCACGATGTTATCCAGTCACAATAAGAATATAGGAGGCATGGCAGGATATGCCAATCAACACTGGACCAGCAATGTGGCATCTTTCTGTAAGCAGCAGATTTCCAAAGGCATATATATTACACATGCCAACAGTTCTTTTGTTCTCTTGGTGACACATGTGGGTTTCCTTCCATATGACGTGTAGTAAGGGCTAAAGATCAAGGGTCATGGTGCCATTACTACGAATCATATCAAGCTCCAGATGTGAAAGAGGAGAAAAACCCAGCTGCTGGTCCCGGAAGGATGCCACTTAGCTTACCAACCTGAGCATGAACCCCGGGCCATCTCGATGTGTTCTCCCCAAATTTGCTCCCCACCTGACAAATGACATGAAGGTATTTTGCTGAATATTTGAATTCACTTAAAAGATAAAACAATTATAGGCCGTATCAATAAGATTTGTACTAGGGAATAGACAAAAAAACATGTGAAATTAAAGATAAAACATCGTGACTTATCTTTCATACAAAGAAAGAAAAAAAATGTCTTCTAATTTCCACAGGTCAAGGACTAAATGAAAAATTTAGAAGTAGAAACAAGACTGTCAGAGATATGTGTGTACTTTGTATTTCTCCTACTGCATAAGGGTGCTTCTGCATATTGTACATGTACATATGGTGGCCTTCAGCCCCTCCTCTGAATACAAGCAGCATTCCTAACATGGTATCCAGAGCCAAGTTCTGAGTTGGGGTTAGGGTTACCGCCGTCATGCTGCGGTCGTCGTCTGCGGCCTGGGCGCGGCTCCTCCTGTGGCACTGGTTATTACCGGCTGTGGCTCCTCTCGCCGTGCCTCTACTTGGCTGTGATGCTCCCAGCCGCTCAACCTCCGCCGCGCTCGTCCATGCGGTTCCTCCTGCTGCGCTCGTCCCTCGTCTGCGCGGCTCCTCCACTGGTCGTACCAAAAAGAAGTGGAGGATCCATGACGGACCTCGACGTAAGTGATAGAACGGTTGGTATCTAGCTCGTCGCCAATAATCTTCCGAGGGTAGGAGGGAGAGGTCGAGGGTGCTTCATCAGTGAAGATGGAATCACTACGAAGCAACCAGTCCTTCCAAGGCGTAGGTTCTCCAGAAAGAAATCTATCAACAAGAGAAGTAGGCACCCATTTTGTAGTTCTAGGTCTTTCAGGCCAAGCCCCCAGCAAGCTTACTGCTGCAAAGATGTTCCCAGGCCACCAAGCATCACGTCCACCCACTATCTTTTCTTTGTTTGATGCTTTCTATCGTCGATGCGTTGATCTCGAATGCATAAATAATCCTTATATTGTCCTTCTCCCCAAAAAATAGGCAGCCCGCTCACCATTGATTTTCGTCCCATCTGCCACCAAAACTGCCCGGTGAAGGGGCTGTCCAAGGTCTTAACGAACCGCCTTCAGTCTATCATTCCATCCTTGATACACTACGTGAAAAACGCTTTCTAGGGGCGGCTACTGATCGTTTCTAGAGGCGGCTCAGCCAGCCGCCCCTACCATACCGTCTCTATAAATCATGCATTTGTAGAGGCGGTTGGTACTGTAGCCGCCCCTACAAATCGATTTATAGGGGCGACTGATAACACCAGCCGCCTCTACAAATCGATTTGTAGGGATGGCTACAGTACCAACCGCCCCTACAATATATTTTTCGGCTAAAAAAAATTTAAATTTATAATTCAAATTCGACCAGATATGCAAATCGATTTGAGTCATTCACCATTACTTTGCTAATTAAGTAATCAGGCACAGATTTAAATAGGAATAGTTGCAGTGTCCAAAAAATACTAGATAACAGAGATCGTAAATGTGATCAACAGATAAGCTTAAAATACAATGAGGACAAGCAAATTGAAATAAAGAAGCAACATGTCAATGTCTCCGAGTGAGGCAGGGAAAACTATCATCAGCTTCATCTAAGTACCCTCCGGAGAAAATGTTTTCAGTTTGCTTGTGGGAGTCATTATCACTACAGTGTTTGCTATCACCACCCCTCCCCTGTTCAGTAGCACAAATGCACACCTGGGTAAAGGAATGATAATCAACGTAAGAAAGTTAATTGGTAACAAACCCATGCCCACCCCAAAATATCTTCACTTAATTACCATTTTGGACGATACAAACCTCAGGCATTACTTGGTGAAAAATCTAATGATGGAATTTCTAGATTATAAATCTAAATATCCCTTTTGTATATTTGTGGCTAAGTTTCAAAAAAGTGAGTGCAATCAATTTTTGGGTCACAACAGAGGTAGTTTTTCACAAAAGCATGCTTTGCTCTGGTAATCATATAGCAGGCATCAACAACAGAATAATTGGACCGTGTCACCACTGTTCTTGGTCAACTGTGTGAGTCATGCGGTAGTGATAGATTAAAGACAGTACTCCCTCACCTGTAAACAGTTTATAAGCATTTGGCAAATCACGCTTTTGGGTGGCATAAAAAATGTCATTCCCGGATGAGAGATATAGACCAGCATCAACGATGATTGGCCTTATTTGTCTTTCCCTGGATGCAGAGACAGACAGACAATGTAAATAACTTCCAGCCCTAAATTGAGAGAGAGACTAGAACCAAAAATGATAAAGTGCCCTTACTCCTTCCAACCAATATAGCTAGTATGCTGAATGAAGTTGAGATCCTTCGGTAGGTATGAAAAAACATGCAGGAGGTCTGCAAACAATTTGGAAATCAAGTTACCTTCATAAACTAATACCTTTCCACTAGCTGTTAACAATTTATGACATAAATGAGTAAAAGTAACAAACAGCTATCGTAAACCCTGATAAGATTAAAGTAGCAAGCTAGTTCCCATGGCTTCAAGCTCCATTCATAAAGGCATGCTAGCTCCATTCATAAATGCATGGACTCAAGTAGGCAGTAATAGCATAAACCTTAGAAGAAAAAAAATCTGCTGCCCAAGCTCAATGAAAACCAATCGAAAGCATTGGTTGACTAAGACTACAATATTCTTTGTGGGACAAATTTTGTCCCCCATTCTAATTGCATTATTTCCAAACTAAAAAAAAGGGGCAGGAAATTTAAAAATAGTGGCCAGGAGTAAAGCTAGCTAATACAATCTTATTTACAAACTCTAGCGTGACACTTCCATTAATCGTTGGGAGTGTTAATTCAATTAAAATACTAACATGAGCATGCTTTTATAGATGAAGTGATTTTTTTTCCTTGGTGAATCGGCATAAGATGATACAACAAACTGATTATTTAGTTTCAACCTGTTCCTTTAGAGACATACCAAAAAAAAACGAGTTATATTCCTTAAAGCCATCCTAGCCCCATTCTTTCAAACCTTTCTATATCCATTCTCATGCATTAGCATGATCTTCTGAAAGGGAACTATCATGTACAATAAATTGATTCACCTACTTGATAACGCCAAATCCAGAGTTGCAGACAGATCTATCAATGTTAAACAAACTACGGAACATTTCATGCAAACAATAACAATCTATTAAAACAAAATAGATATAGATAAATACTCTTTTGATCACCCAAATACCTAGATCTACATAGAAAATCTCAGGAACTCTACCGCATATATACACCAAAATGTAGCAGGATAGGTGTAGAGAGGAATCACCATCGGGTGTCACGAGCGCGTACTCATCGGCGTCGAGGTGCACGAACCAGTCCCAGCCCCGGTCGACCCTCAGCAGTAGCGCGGCGCCGTGTAGCGTGGTGGCGATCGCGGAGGCCCCGCGTGGGTTGGCGAACCCGGGGTCCCCGACAACATGGCCGTTGGCGCGGCCAGGGGCAGCCCGCGCGCTGCGAGCGAGCCGTGCGTGGTCGTCCGCGGAGGTGGTGCGGTCGAGCAGGAGGAGGTAGACGTTGCGGCGGTGGCAGGTGGCGAGGAGAAGCCGCTGGAGGCGGTCTACGTCGCCCGTGGATCCTGTGAGGAGGAACGCGAGTGAGGGCAGTGCGGGGCCCGCGGAGGCTGCAGAGGGGAGCGGTGCGAGGCGGGGCTGTGGTGGTGGAGGCGGCGAGGGGGCGGGGGAGGAGGAGGAGAGGAGGTGGAGGGTCAGCAGCAGCAGCAACAGGGAGGTGAGGAGGAGGCACGGGAGCGGGCAGGAGTCCTTGGGGAAGACGCTGTGCGGCAGGGCGGAGGGCGGAAGGAGGCCGGCGGCGGCAAGTGCGGGTGCCATACCCTAGCCAGTGTGCACCCTCTATTTTATACGTGTGCAAGTGCTAGCGCCTTTGGGTGGGCAGAAAGGCCGGCGTGGCCCAGGCCCAGTTGCTCGTAAGTTTCCGTCGCGGCATTTGTAGGGGCGGCTCAATTACCAGCCGCCCCTGGTGTTGCTATTTGTAGAGGTGGCTGGTAAGTGAGCCGCCCCTACAAATGGAACAGCAGGGGCGGCTGGTGATATGAGCCGCCTCGTGGATTCTGAACATGCCACTGTAGGGTTGGCTTCATCACCAGCCGCCCTTAAAAAAAATTTGTCCCGTTGCTACAAACCGTTTTTCACGTAGTGATAAGTGATGACCAAACTGGTTTAGTTCGTGGATGCAGCATCGTAGAGAACTTTGTCTATGCCGCTGATCTCCTCAACTGTTGCTTTCGCCGTTCTGCTCCCACCATTGGACTTCCACAAAGCTTTTGATTCCATGAACTAGGAAAGCCTTCAAACTATCCTGCGCCATCGTGGATTCTCTGATATCTGGTGTGCCTGGATGCTTGATCTTCTGACTACTGGAAAGTCAATTGTTCTACTTAATGATGTACCTGGCAAGCATATCACGTGTCGAAATGGTTTGCAGCAGGGTGGCCCGCTCTCACCCTACCTCTTCTTAATTGTGGCTGACGTTCTCAAGCGACTTCTCCACTAGACCTCCCTCTCTCCTATTGTTCATCAACCTTTGATCGAAGGCGCTGCTTGCACTATGCTGCAATACGCGAAGTCAGCTATGTACTTTTGACACTCATTCCTGGCACGTAAAGCATGCGAACACATCCTAGGAAGACCTGTCGTTGGGGAGGAGCATAGCAAGAGTGCACTAGGATCGGTATAGCCATCTAGAATGCTGGCAAATCTCATCGAGAGATCGAAGTGCTGGGTAGCAAGGGGGCAGGAAAAGCTTATGGTTAAAAAGTAGGGTATGTAGTAGATTAGTTTTTGATCGATCAGATTGATAGATATCTCAATTGACCGTTATACTCACATATATATAGAGGGGTGGTCTTGCCCTAGTAGAAAACATATTTCAACATAGTTTGCAGTCACCGAGATCATTCTTTTCCTCCATCGCCTTGTTGAGCCACCTAATCTAGTCCTAGATCGAGACCACGCTGAGATCATTTTTTTGAGATAACCACGCTGAGAACACTAAGCTAGTTGGCAATGTTGTTGATGCAGATGCTGAACGCATCCAAGGTCTTGCCGTCCTTGAACTTGAGGCTGTCGAACTCGTCCAAGGTCTTGCGACCTTGAACATGAGGGTGTTGAACTCGTGTTGTAGCATGTTCGCCTTTGCCTAGCACACTCGGTTGACGCAGACATGCATCGTCTTGATGGAGTCCTTAGCGATCTTGGTGGTGGCCATGTAAATGGTGCTCCCATGCTTCTCCGGTGGAACACCCTTCGTGATGGCCGATAGCGTGTCATTGGTGCTGGATCCTTGCCTACGGCGTGACACGCATGATCTCCTTCACATGACTCGGTGAATGACCAAGCCGTGATCGGGGCTGCCACCTCCTCCACAGTTTGTGCCTCCACCAGAACCTCCACGCCTTGGCAAAGTCAATCAATGTGATGGCGATCTATGAGTGCTACCTCGATCGCATGATCTCGCGTCATACTCAAATTTGATGCCAATTGACGTCTTCTCCACCAGTGCCTGTCGCCGGAGTCGATGTAGATCACCCTGATGACACAAGAACACACACGAACACTAGGAATTTTGGTGCCACACAACCGCAGTTTTAATTTCTAGACTATATGCCTTGCAATATATAAGATTCTGATTTACATCATCGTTGTCACGATCACCGCACGAACTGGTCGCGCCATCCCACGACCCAAGGTATGCCAGGCACCATGGCCACTAAACTCGATAAAAAGGGAAAACGAAGGAGAGCCAAACCAAGCCGGGTTCATCTGACATTATTCGCATGACATCTTGATTGAACACGGTAAATTTATTCTGTGTTAGCGTAACATATCCATTACCCTACATCTTCACCATGCTTAGCTGTTAATTAAATCAGTTTTAATCATGAATGATCAAATCCTTCCACCACTGAGGACAACCAAACATCCTATTTTCTCTCAACACCTGGGTCACTTTCAAATTAAAGAAAATAACAAGAGCACAGCTTGTTCCCCTTATTATTCAGGACACACCGGCATATACATTAACGGAAACCTAATCGGTTGTTGTTCCTTCAGCTCCGAGCGCGTAGCAGAAGGGCCGGCCGTGGATGGTCATCAGGTTGCACTCCGTCTCCGACACGAGGGTCGGGGCGAGTTCAAGCAGCCCACCCCAAGAGCAGGTCGCCGTCATCGTGGCGCCGCCTGACATGCCGTCCATCATGGTCCTCAGCGCACCGCACCGGCAGTAGGGCACGAACTTCTCGAGCTCCGCGCAGCACCTCTCCTTCAGCACCGGGATGGGGACGAAGGGGCCGCTGCTGACGCCGCAGGCCCGGCGAACCATGTACGTGCGGCAGCTCAGGAGCGGGTTGAGCAGGATGACCTGCCCTGGCTCACACCAGTTAGTCCTGGCAGCCGCGGTGGCGAGGACGGACAGCAGAACTGCAGCCGAGAGGAGGATGTAGCTGGACCTGGTGGAGGCCATTCCTACTCCTCCGAGCTTCAGATCAAATTCTTTGTGCAAATTAAAGGCGCAGCAGCTTGGGAAGATACATATACTTTATATAAACTGAGAGAAATAAAGGTACAAGCAAACTGGCAAGTGACGTGCTAATTATGTTTGTACATGTTTTTTTATATTTCAATTGGAGTCTTGTGGAACTTAAAATAGAATGACACCATGCTTGTATGACTCAGTTAAGCTTTGTTTGTGGAAACAGAATTTGGGGGTGTCCTGCAACAGCTGAGCTAGTGTTCTGTGTGCCATCATATTTAAAACCTTTACAACCACTATTGGACTTTAGAAACTTAACTTTCATTTATATAATGTGGTTGCAATAACGCATGCAATCTACACTCAAAGGAAACTCTTTTATTTCATCTTATGTGTTCTACACGACATGACAACTATTTAGGAGCTTTACTCGTGGCCTCGTGGGTTCTCTCCGGAGATGAAGCTTTTCTTGCTACAGACTGTTTACAAGTTGACACAAAGTTAGAGAAGCAAGCTGGGAATATATAATCGATGTACATGTATGTAATTTTTGTTTAATGCATGGAATCTTGCTTGTGAAACTAAATTTGAATTACACCACACGTAAGACGAAATCGAGCTTTATTTGTTGAAACTCAATTCAGCGCGGTTGTCTGACAACCTGTATTTTCCTTGTTATATCATGGAAGACTTTATAGCAAACCTATGGATTTTAGCCACTTAACTTTCATCATCACTGACGTTCACCTCTTCTCTATTATGCTTCTAATGATGGATCCAGTATAAGCATTGGAGTCCATTGGCACCAATTCAATTCAGTATGGAATCCATATATGAAGTTACTGTTTATTAATATTTACCAGATGAGGTGACCTCACACAGTCCTTTTAGAGGTAATTGTTGGGAATCATGTGAGTAGTGTCACACATGGTTCGCTAATGATCGATGCTCAGTGCAGGAGAACAGATAAATAGTGCTGTCGTCCAATGTAGTGCAGAGAATCTCGAGGAGTTGATCAATGTTCTACAAGGACTGTTCGGTACTTAATCCTCTTCCTGGTGCAGCAGCCGCAGCCTATTTAGGGCTTGTTCCATTAATCTCCAATCCGAGGGGGTTGGAGGGGATTGAAGGGAATTGATAGAGATTTTGACTAGAATCAAGAACAATGTTTTAAATCTCCCGCTATAGCCCGCTATAGCCTTTTAAGGCAGGGTGCCGTTATTTGTGTTCATGTATAATTTAGCCGATATATCTCGCTATAGTCCGATTTCGCTCCGCTATTATCTGATTTAGAGGTATACCACTAAACAGCTTAGCCCACTATTTAAAACTATGATCAAGAATAAGCAACATGATCAAGCTTTTATTTATTGTTCAGTGCATAATTCCCACGCAGTACATATATACAGATCATTGCATGATGCATCCGCATGCAACACTTCATCAGTATGTGGAAACTGATTCCATGCCCGTCCTAGGGCTAGCGAGCGAGTGGCACATGCCGCCGTCGATCGTCGGCAGGTTGCACTCCGCCGCCCTCGTCAGCCTACGAGCTAAGGTCCTCTGCATCTCCCTGGTGCAGCCCCGGAAATCCTGGAGGCCGCCGTACTCGCTGTCCATCATGAAGCCCAGCGCCGCGCACCGGTACCGTGACGGGACGGCGGCGAGCTCCTGGCAGCACCTCTCCTTCAGCACCGGCGAGGGGTCAACCATGGGACCGTAGGGTCCGCCGAGTCCGCAGGTCCGGCTGACCGCGTAGATACGGCAGCTTGGCACGGGTGGGGTCGGGATGGCCAGCCCTGGAACGCACACCATCAGGTCGACGGTGGCGGCGCAGGCGGCGAGGATGGAGATCAGGACGCCGGCGGAGAGGATGTGATGTAAGGTTGAAAACGGACGGAAAAAATCCCGTTCCGACCCGCTCCGTTTTCTACTTTCTTCCGTCCGTTTTCGTATTTGTGGGATCCCATTTCCGTATTCACGGAAACGGGAAAGGGTTTTTTCCGTCCGTTTCCGTGAGATCCCGTTTTTATCCAGAATTGACCCGTGTTTATTCCGTTTTTCATCATGTTTTCAATCTATGTGAGATATGTCTAGAAATTGATATGTTCATAAACCTACTAATCACAAATTATGCATGTTAACATGTTAACACATGGTACACTAGTGAATATTGGACCGATAATTTCGTACGTGTATATTATTTTGTGACTTTGTTCATGTATACTCAAGAATATTTGATCATGTTATTCTAACTTATTTTTCCGGCTCTCCGTCCGTATTTGAATGTTTCCGTATTTCTGTATATCCCCATCCGTTTTTAATTCCGTTTTTTTCCCGAACCCGATCCCGTTTCCGCTAAAAATATAGAAACGGAAATGGGAGAGGAGTTTTTCCGCCCGTTTACGTCCGTTTTCATCCCTAATGTGATGGAGATGGTCAGACACAATTCTTGCTACTATTTCCTGACGCAGCACTTTTAGTGTACAAGCGTATTGTGTATGTACATACTCCTATATAGCAAGAGACATAGAGATGCAAAGCTGGCAATTGATGTATTATATGTGTTTTTTTCTGTTTGCTTTATCGAGCCTTGCAGATCTAAAATTTTGGATGTAAACCTTTGCATTGTGATGAATTGTAGTTTTGTTTTAAGCTGTGAGCCTCTGTAACAGAATTTGGATGTGTGTTCTGCTATTAATTGTCATCATGGTAAAGCTTTAGAGCCACTCAACATCAGCTTTTTTTCATCGTCATTTGTCGATCGTGTATGCGTCTTTACCTGCATCCATGGCTAAGGTACGGTTCTTCAGTCTTTCTTTTTCTTTCGATCTGGCTGGATAAAGTGAAGTTTATTGGAGCAGAATTTGGGGATATCCTGCAACTTGTGTTTCTGCTTGGTTGGTATGCATTCTGTAAGAATTTACACACACTTTACTAGTTGATTCCCTTGCCTAAGGTAGTCCCAATGGTAGAAACCACAGTTAGTTTCTTTTTTCAATCACAGTTAGTTTCTATGTCTATTAATCTATGTAGACACTATACATAAAAACTGTCTTTCCAATAAATAGTTTTTACAGAATAATCTTTTGTCCAATCACATGTATTCCTTTTCTCTTATCTACCTATCACATCTCTTCATATCTTGGTTCCCATGCGACATAGTTTCTTATTAAGAAACTATTTCCTCCTCTCTACTCAAATCACTTCCCACAACAATGCCAATTTGGTCTACTCCACTTGCCATGTAGGGCAGTTATCAGTAGATACATATGGTGTAGGGCGTTTAGCATCGTCATAGATACATACTACTTTTTTTAGCGAACATGCCGTAGTAGCACGTATTTCATTAAGAGAAAGTAGACAAACACAGTCGAAACCACAACAAGCTCTACTTAAGGTAACCAAAGGTTCCCTACAAGCAGAGCCAAGCCAAAGAAGAAAAAAGGAACAAACAAAAAAAAGAAGGAAGGAAAGAGCGACTGCCCTCGACAACGAAGACATACCAACTGGACCTGGAAAAGAGGATACAACAACGCAACAGTTGCCTACAAGCTAGACAAAGCCCTGGTGGCGATGCATCCAACTAGCGAAGAGAGGTGAGCGTCCTGCAGCAACTGCGGCAAAGCATCCGCCAATGAACCATGGCGGCAAAGCATCCGCCAACGAACCACGATGGCAAAGCATCCACCAACGAACCACCGCAGCCAAGCCGACTTCAATACCAATTTGATCTACTCCAAGTGCCGCGTAGGGCAGTTATCAGTAGATACATACTGCGTAGCACGTTTAGCATCGTCATAGATCTATATCGTTGTAGTGCAGATCGGTAGCAGGTAGAGGTAGCAGATCCGTTTTGCTAACGACGTTGGTGTGGTGATGTTGACGTCATCGAAGTAGTTGCGGCAAGATGTCGGTACAAGCACCGACATTGAAGATTGACGGCGGCATCAACGGCGATGTCAAAGTAAAGCTTGTCATGCTAATAACTTGTTGTAAAACACGTTATCAGCGGTTAGGACCATTCCCTCTCTGTCTCTCATGATCAACAGAGTAGATGAAAGTAGAAAAATACGTAAACACAAGATAGAAAAAATATTCTTTATTTCTCATAATATAGCTAATTGCATCATAGAGCTCCCACATATATATAGTGATATCAAAGCTTAAGAGAGTATGTTTTTTTAAGAGTCCACGAATAGACCATGAGTAGAATCCACTACTAGAGAACAGACTTTAGAACGATGTCCCAATTTGGCATTAGCCTCGGCATTTTTTGCCGCCGGGACTAAAGGATCTTTAAGTCCCGGTTCGTAATACCAACCGGGACTAAAGGTCCCTGCCCAATGGTCGTCCGAGTGGCAGGGATCTTTAGTCCCGGCTGGTATTACCAACCGGGACTAAAGGTTTTAGTCCCGGTTTGGCCACCTAACCGGGACTAATTATGCCGGCCTATACACTGGCTCATTTCTTCCTCCCCGAGCCCGAGCCATTCCATTCAAACTCACTGCCTCTGTTCTTCAGCTTGCTGTTGTTCTTGCTCTGTCCCCCTCCATTGGTGTTGCTCTTCGATTTTGGAGGTAACAAACTTAATCCTCTTATGTTTTATCAGTAGCTTATCTCATTTTGCGATGTAGATGCATGTGTAACTTTATATGTTGGACTTTATTATGATTTTATATGTCATTTTAGCTCAAAATCACATGATGATTTGTATATATGTTTGGATAAACAAAAGTTAAATTAGTTCATCAAAATCACGCCTCGCTCGTCCTCATTTGGAGCACGCGCCATCCTCGTCCCCGGCGGCTTACGTGATCTTAGAATTAATTTTTCCATGAAATGAAAAACTTAGAAAATAGTTAGAAAATTGTACAAAATCCGTACTAGTTGAACTTGCGGACCGTGATCATCTCGGCGAGCATTTTCTCTGCCGAAGTGATAGCAGACGTCAAGGAGGAGCTTTGATTCTACGAGGGAGGCGGCAGCGG